GTGGCCTTTTATTGTGGCCAGCCTAAGGCACACCTGTGCAATAATCATGCTGTCTAATCAGCATCTTGATATGCCACACCTGTGAGGTGGATGGATTATCTCAGCAAAGGAGAAGTGCGCACTAACACAGATTTAGACAGATTTGTGAACAATATTTGAGAGAAATAGGCCTTTTGTGTACATAGAAAAAGTTAGATCTTTGAGCTCATGAAAAATGGGGGCAAAAACAAAAGTGTTGCGTTTATAATTTTGCTCAGTGTATATATAATGGAACATTTAACCATTAAAAATGTAAATAAATAAATAAATTAATTAAATTAATTAATAAAATGTATCATATTTTATGCATAAGGCTTTTACATTGATAAAAAGCCATAAACATTCAAATAAACACAAATTAACCTTCCTCAAAAGCTTGATGTATCATATTTGAAACTCACATTTTAACATGATTTTTCTAAAAATGGATAATCCGGTAAACCTGAGCTTGAGTCCAGTAAGTGTTCTCCTTGAAATATTACTAACAAAATAAAATGTATTCTTCAGTAAAGGTTTCACAGCAAAAAGATGTGTACTCCAACCTGAAGGTGGACAGTTTTTTAGATTTATATTAAAAGGTGGTTTACTTGCTAAAAAGTATAAACTATCAATCAGACAACAGGAGGTGTGTGGTAGATTAGTGTTTCTCAACGATGATGTATGAGCTGAAACTTGCAAAAGAAAATGGTCTGCAATGTCCTAACACCGTCTCTTCACTGAATGCATTAAAGTGAACTTTCCAAATCTGTCCAGTTAGCACGGTAGTGCAAGCGTGTGGATTGTGTCAGAAATAGAACGTGTCATGCATCCGTTTACTGTGAGCGTGCGTTCAGTGACAGAATCAATCACTGATTATAATAGGTTCTATGTGCTCTGAAGCAACGTGTTGTGCAGCTTGCGTCCAGTCGGTGTAGTAGTGTTACCTGCTAGCTTATACCAATGCTACTAGACATTGTATCATTTCCATAGCAACGATTGCTTATTTCAGTGTTTGCTCAATCCAACTTTTCTGTAGCGCAGCTGCCGAACTTCCCGTCAAAACAACAGCTATCATTCAGACACAATAAAGCATGATATGCTTTTTTTTGTTCTTGTTTGCTAATTGGCTGCGGTTGGTTTGAATGGCAAATTTCTAAAGAGTTTATTTAACACTCGTAAATACATATATATACATACACACACACACACACACATATATATATATATATATATATATAGTTTT